TATATATATATACATATACATACATATATGTATATATAACGGCGGCTGAATATTGATGACTAGGGTAGAATCACATATATATATATAATATTGCGTTTTCAGAAACCGCGATAACAATATAAAAGTTAAAAATACGAGTTGTATCTCGTCCTTTAACATACCCCAGGTTGTTTTACGAAATAGATTTAAGACAAAAATTTAGACTACTCTTATTCCTTGTTTATATATGCCACATCTAATAACTTAATGCGAAATCGATTTTTAAATAAATTAACATATAACAAGTAAAGTAAATAAGAAGATACGTTTTGCTAAATCTTATATCGATGTGATTCTCATAATATGAGAAATTATATATGCTGTAAGGAACATCTGTAATTATAATTATAACAAAAATAAACATAAATTTCATAATAAATTGATTTATGTTAATTAAATTCACGCGCTGCATATTTCTCTTATATTTCAAAATCAACAGCAGTAAATTTTCCGTTGCATTTTCCGATTTTTGTTTTAAATCATTTGTAGAAATTTTGTTTATTTACCGTGTTTGTTTTTCTGAGAGTTTTATTTTTAAGCCGGTACTCATAATCGATTTTTATATTTATATAGATCGTCTTACATACTGTCTCTTAAAATGTCACCAATCACAGAGAGTATTAATATCTTCAGATTCTTAAAATAATGGACTATGAATATATAGAAGCTAAAAGTAAAGTGTTTTTAAACACGTCCTTGATTTTCAATTGTTTCTCATGCGAAAGCTTTTGTTTTGAAAGAATGATCGATAGTCGAGTAAACATGAGAAAAATGACTAGCAGAATGCAAATATGAACGCTTGCCGAGAGGTTGTATCGTCAACTGCCAAGTTATTAGATGTCTCCAAGTATAATCTGCGGTGTAATCGCAATATCAGCGAGAAAATGACGAAGAAAGATTTCATCTACGACATCCCAACACCGATGCAGACCATGAGAAAGGTATTTCCCCTTATTTGCGACAACAAGAATTACTCTTGGAAGATTTTCTAAATATTAATTTATAAATAATTTCACAGTATAATATTTTATGGAAATAAAACGATTGATATATGCATGCATTTATCGTCGTTTGATGACAATTCTTAAAATATGTATATCTCAGAATAAAAATTTATAATTTGCAGTTTGATATACAAAGACAACCAATTATTCTACTACGACGAAAAGATATTGGTACGAGAATGCCGCATTACACTATAATTTCTGAGAAACGGGAGGACAATGGCAGTGGCGATGCGACTGTTGTAAGTAGTATTATTTGTGAGAAATGGCATTTTATTCATCTTTTTATTATTTGTATGTCGAATCTAATTTTATTACAAGTAATGGAGCTATGAGTGTTCAAATATTTTTTTTTAATTTAAATATCCTTTAAATATCCTTTAAATATCCTTTTTTTTAACTTAAATAATAAATTTAACTCAAATTAAAAAAAAATTTAATTGTTAAAAAAATATAATTTTTTTCTATTGCATTGTTTTCTATTGCAGTGTTATCCTATATAATTATAATCTTAATATTATATATCTACTTCTATCTTAATTCATTTTTATTTCTAGTGTTTAAATTTTTACTTGTTTTAAGTATCTATAAATTTCTGAGGTACAAAAAGAATAAATAAAAGTTTCTTATCAAGATTTTATTAAGGTATAAAAGTTTGCTTAAAATTGCATATATTAACTAACTAATTTACAAAATACCGTAAGGTGCATAAAGTTAGCTAATTAAAAAATTGACACGAACATTAAACTCGGAGAGTAAATCATAATTACTTTACAATGTCGGAAAAGAGAAGATTTTCTTAAAAAACTACTCACAAAATCGTTTGTTTTCTATTTTACATCATTTTCTCAAAATTAACTACCAGCTAAAAGAAAGAAAGAAAAATGGAAGAATTTTTCTTTCTGTTCCGTGGCGAAACTTTGGTGTTTCTCCTCGACCTCATTCTTAACGGACGTATTAAACAAAGTAACGGTTAGTTACTCAACGACAATATGGCGATGTGACGAAGGAAAAGATGAGGGCATTGATGGGCGCAATACATCATGCGGGATAAAAACTGAAAGACGACATTAAGCTGTATCTTGATTGTCTGTGTTTTTTACAATTTTCTTCAACTCATTCGCTCTTTGGCGTTAAAAGCCAGCAGTCTTGGATAACTTTTTCCCCCAATTCCTCGCGAGGGAATGTCCGAACTCTTTTCTTTTCAGCGTTTCTTACACATGATTCTAAGGAAAAGCGAAAATAATGTGGGTGTCAAATGACACGAGGCGATTAGTTAGACAAATTAAGGAAAATTCTCGGAGCAATCAATGAATGTTTTGAAGCAATGAAATTCAAATGTTTACTGTATTTTTTTTTATCATAACGACTTGTCTTTAATTATATCAAAAAAGAATTTTATTGTAACTCCACTTTTTCGTGCCTTTTAGGAATTATTTAAGTTTTTATATGCATTATTTATATGCAATTATTTAAGTTAATTATATGCACGTTATAAGATGTTTTATTAATAACAAATAATAACAAATAATAAAAAATTCTATAATTAAATCAAATATTTTAATAAAACTTTGTCAATAATTTCTCATGATCGGAATCTTGAGATGAGATAAGATCATATTACCTGCAGTGTGTGTGTGTGTGTGTGTGTGTGTGTGTGTGTGTGTGTGTGTGTGTGTGTGCGCGCGCTCATAATATCTAATCCTACTTTATAATAAATTTCCTTTAAAACAAATTTTAGTTGAATCAAATAGCTTAATATTTAAAAATATAATTAAAAGGTATAATTTTTTAAAGACACTGATACGTACATATCAGACTTTAAGGAGTTAATTTTTAGCGCCAGAGAGAATGTGAAACATTTTTTTTTTTTTTTCATTTTTTAATGTGTACCGACCTGTTGAAAAAATTGGAAACAAAAGTTTTATTATTGTCGAATTTTTCAGGTTGCCGATCGACGACGCATTTTAAGATACTCGTGCAATCTTTGCCAAGAACCGATGGCAACTTTATTTTCTCTATCGACACACGTCAAGTTTCACTGCCAGAGATATTGCAAGATATGCTATTGGATTCCGCGTGAAAACGAGACGATAGAACGACACATTGGCAATTGTCATCGAACCGTATCAGAGATCGCAAGCTTCTAGTGCTTGAAAACATCGAAGTAATAACATCTGTTCTTAATACCAAATGCCTGTTTAAAAGCTAATATTTCATATGTAATATATCTACACTTAATGTTATAACATGTTTTATATTTTGACGTAATGAGCAAAGTTCTATATATAAAAAATGCAATTGATTTAAAGCAGTGCAACTTATAGCCTATGAATTTTTTGCAATTAGCTAGCTTGCCGTAAATATAAAATTATATTTTTCATTTTCTATTTTTTATTCAAATAAAATAATGACATTATAAAAAATAATTAAAATAATTAAATATGGATATTTATTTACTTATAAAAATGCCTTTTTGAAAATGATCTTTAAAAAACTGCGCATCCTTAATTTAAAGGATTAAATTTAATATTTATAAGTATATCAATTTAACATTTAATTTTGATAAGTAGAAACTTTAGTATTCTTTAGACTCTACATTTTCTTTGCTCCTCTAAAATATGTGTGTGTACTTTATGTTTCACTTCATTTTATTTTATTGTCGAGATTGCTTGGGATCGGCTTTGAGTATTCTAAATTTTAATTGTAGTAGTTATGTATGTATATATGGGATTAAATTATTCTTTGTTTTGTATTATATTATTGTATTATATCGGCGAATTATGTAATTATAAATCCCTCCTTGGCGGCGAGCCATCTGTCATTAAACAACTAAATTCATTAGTTGGCACATCGTCATAGTACGTCTCTATCTGCTTTATTTGCCTCAGATAATCTTACACGCGAATTGAAAAGAAATTAGGTTAATTACGCTCTCGCCTGTTAATCAGCATAATACAACGAGTTTTCATACGGCATTTCCGGTTTTTATCGCATGCACGACATATAGTAGATAACACGTTTACTAAATATCATTAATTTCTTACTTCCGGATTAGGCATTTTCGTATGTACAACAAGCTTGGAGCCGGATTGCACATCAGTGACCTAGTTTCCATCGAGGGTTCGATCCGAGTCGGAAAGTAAGAAACAACCAACTGCAATCGAGTATTCCCTTGTCATTCGATTGTAACAAAGGAATTGCTCGACTGCAGTTGGTTGATTTCTTTCTCTCTTCTGACTCGAATCAAACTCTCGGTGTAAACTAGGCCACTGTTGCACATTTCGACCGATTTTACCTGGCGGCATTCCTACTCTTTTTGTTTCATAATATTTAGACTGCGCAGAACGCAAAATATAAATTGTATGGGGCACTGTAGGACTATAGGATTTTGAAACATATTGCGCGTTCACTGTTTATAGAGTTTTATTATTATTATTGTTGTTATTATTATTATTATTTGGATGTTAGAATATCAAAAGTAACAGTTCAAAATTGAACAGGTATATTAACCAAGGTAAAAGAGTAGGTATGTGCATGCTGAAAAATATATCTTAATTTTAAAAAATTTTGATTTAAAAAATATATAATACAATGTATATAATATAATATTAATATATTTATTAAAAATATTTTTTAATCAATTAAAATTTTTTTGAAATTAAGATTTTTTTTTTCAGTGTATGCACTTAGCAGGTAACATCTGTTTTATTTTGAAATGTTACTTTTGATTTTCTAACATCCGAATAATAATAAAACTCTGTAAATAATAAATGCGAGGCAATATGTTTCAAAGTCTTATAACCCTACAATGTCCTGTATGGTTTATAATTTATAGCTAATATCGTCCCTCGATCATTCTTTAATTTATATCTCCGCACGCAATCTAAATGCTATGAAACAAAAGGAGTAGAGATGATGGTAGGCAAAACGAAACTGCAACTCCAGGTTTGATATATATACTTATTTATTGTATATACATGACCGTTCAGCAAAAAATAAAAATCTACATTTTTGGATAAAAAATTTAAATCATGAATTTTTATCGGTTAAATAATATTATATAATAAAATAATAATATAAAATGCTAATATTGTATATATGTTGCTTACTTTTTAAAATAAAAATAAAAAAGAATTTTTCATATCTCATTTTTCTATTCATTTTTCCTTTAGAATTTGATCCTACATATGTCACAAGAAATATGCAGCGTGCGCTGCATCTATTTCTTTTAATCTTAGTCTATGGATTAAATATAGATAGCGCTTGAATACAAAAGTTCGAAATATTAGCGGACAATTTTACACCGTTAGAATCCAATAAAACTCTGGATATAAAACAGCCAGTTTTGATTGGTCTGCCACGTTTCATATGTTCTTGAGAAAGAAAAAAAGAGATAAGAAAAGATAGATGAAAAGGAGAAAGAAGTAATAAATATATTATATTATTCCCTCTCGTGTGATTTTCATAAAACAGCATCGTCTAGATTTTTATTAGAGGATTTCTAATTGCATACATTTGATTGTGAATTAGTGTAGATTCGAAAAACATCTAATCTTTGTTGTACATCTCTATAGATCCGAAAATCCGTCCAAAAATCGTAAAACAGAGAGAGAGAGAGAGAGAGAGAGAGAGAATGTATGACAGTAAAATCTTACGAAAAAGAATTTCATAGATTTTAATCCAACAAGACAGTTTCAATCGTTGGATTTTTGAACTTGTGCGCATTCTTTTCTCTTCCAGAGTGTTATTATATTTTCAAACTTTCGCTTTCCCTCACTTTCAAATAGATTTTTGAATCAATCGCGGGTCACGCAACGCAGCGGTGTGAAATTATCGGCGCGTCTCTCTGAATCGAAATTCGAATACGTTCAATCGATCGAAAATACCGGACGCAAAGTGATCATGTTGCGTGCGTTTTATACGCGTTTAGTCGGACCTACATAGCACGCAGAATTCAAGTCGCAGGTAGCAAGTGAAACGCATTTCAAGATTACAATATCCCGCAGGCCTCAGTAAAGTTCATGCAACTTTTTACATCTTGCGTTCTACGTCTTGCATACAATTTAAATTGATTAGGTTAGTTTCTATAGTCTTGCGACTTACGGTTCTCGTTCTGCGATCGGATTTTTCGCGTGCTTCTTATCCATTCGACGTGCGGTGTATACGCAATAAGAATCTGGAGTGCCGTGAATTAATTAACGTTGCATTAATTAGCATTGAGGGGGAGGGGGGTCGTGCGAGTGAGTATCCAGAGCAGTGGAGCAATCAACCAATAGACAATGGCAGCGGATCACTTCCACCTCCGGTGAGTCAATTCGTACATTTGTTGATTACATTTACATAAATACTCATTATCTTTTGAAGTAGAATCTTAATTATATGCGAATGTTATATTTAATCGAACGATGATGCAAATATGCGACAGTTTTGTCAAGTAAACTTCGTACGATCGTAGCACATCTCACTACGTCGCGCTAAAAGATATTCGTGCAAATAAATATTAGGTGTTCATGAAATATTAAGGAAAACGGGGATAAATGTTTGTTAAAGTAAATATCAACGAATATACAAAAATGCATGATAAAAATAGGAGTAAAAACGTAATCGATTTGCCTTGCAACTCACATATTTCAGTCTCTTTTTTTCTCGAATAGGCTACAACATCAAAATAGCGTCAAAATGTTTTTAAAATGATTATTATTAAAAGTCACTTAAATCATTAACGATTCATTTTGACCTCAAAATAACTTTATAATGGCTTGTTGTTTTGCTTGGGATATACTTGGGATATACTAGTACGCTTGTTTCATTTCCAATAAATAAGCACGTATGACCCAAATGAATTTAATGAATCTCGAACTTTATTATCTTTGAGAAAGGAACGATGTCGTATGTAAGATTTAATACAGTATATCGTATTTACATTTTTATTAAAAAGCTTTTGTACTTATTTATAAACCTAAGCAGTCATATTTAAATTGATGAGCATGTGAGATAAGCGATACTTCCTTCAACATGATTACTTCTATCTTCTTTGACATTTAATAATTCCGGCGCTACGACCTTCAGAACGGCGTTCACGTTCTCGCAGCAATTACTACAGACAATTGTTTGTCCACGTACTGAAAGGTCCTTTCCCAGAAGCTTGATGTTCTGCAAGGCGATCGATTTTATGTTAATTACAACGCGCGCAGTAAGAGTACACAAGCCGTACAAATAAAATACACAATCGTGAGAATAAACACGTAGAAAATTAGAGCTGAACTTGCATAGTACAAAATCTGAATCAATGTATACTAGCATCAACGAGGGAGATTCTTTAAAAATTTAACAATTTATTCTTAAAATGCCCTTTGAACATTATGTGTTCGATTTTTGACAAACGATTTTTCGATAAGTAGATTATTCACCAGTAAAATAAATTTATCAATTCTCTCATCAAAATTTTTCAAGATTTAAATGTGTGTGTGTGTATTTAAATAATTAATATTAAATATATGTATAAAATCCGTAAACTTCATAATCCTTTTAAATGGCTTTATAAATTCTCTACTTCTGTAACTGATTATTGAGTGTTAAAGAACTGATCTATGTATAATTTTGCGATATTATTTTCTATAAAAAAATTAAATTTTTTAAATAATCTCAGAAAAACTAACCTAATTTTTTAATTAAATTATTCTTACATATATATACCTATTGTAATTACATTGAAAACAAAGTTAATTTTAAATAATTTTATTTATGCTTCTTAATAGACATAGCAGGATTCTGGCGAAAATAAAAATCGAACTGTAAATGTAAGTGCAAAATGACAGCAGCGTAAATGAAGTTTCTAGGAAGCATAAATTGGAACAGAACAGCACGTAAAAGAAGCATTTAAGAAGTAAATAACCCTTTTAAGTTCACTGTTTCAATTTACACCTTCTGAAAGTTTTACTACGCTTCCGTCGCTCTTCTTTTTCATTTGATTTATGCTACAATTTTTTATTTTTGTTAGGATATTGCTAAATAAATGCGATTGGGAGATTTTTAATCGAAAATTAAAAGGGGGAGATTCTTACATATAAACATATAATCCCATATCTTTCCCTAAGGAATTACAAAGGGAAAGATAAAAATTAAGTTTTTATTTTCTAAAAATATTATAATAAGTATCCTTTTTATTTGTGAAAAACGTTCATTAAATTTCATTTTTCTAACTTGTCTAAAATTTGAAAAAAATATAACTCAATTTTTGCCTCCCCCCTTG